GTAAAGCTGTATCACCACATTTAAAAAGATTTAAGAACCTTATTTCTACCTGTAAATATAGAGTTTCATCACTCATCAGAAAGTTAGTATTTGGATAAAAAGGGAGGAAAAACGATGGTATTTGGTTATAATCTGAACTCCATCTGGTTTCTGGTGGCTCAATTCAAAATTCCCCAAGCTTCAGAAATCAACTTTGGCTTTTGAAATGATAAAAAAGTCTTCTAATTTTTCTAAAATGCTCCCTCTAGGAGAAAAAAAAAAAAAAGAGTCCCAGAAAGGAACTGTTACTATCTCAGTGTATAAAATAGCCACCAAATATGTACTTTAGAATAAATGAGTTTGCATCATGGGAAAGTTTATTATTTAAAAGAGCACGATATCCTGGGGGCATTCCCATTAGTACAACTGAAAGCATTAAGACTATACCGAGCTTCCATAGATGGTGCTGACCATTCAACTTCTAGGTTGAAAGTCTTGGCATCCTAAACCAGTGCTGCAACGTCACAATATGTTGGGGTTTGCAGACATAATGATTTCTGCCAGGCTGGGTGCTGCCTGAGCCACTGTGCTCGCCTATGCTGTGTTTGAAGAGTAGATAGGGTGCAGCTGTGCAATCCCCCAGACACCTGAGTTCAGAATACTTCTGCATTTTGCTTTGTTTCTGAGCTCCGCGGAAAATTGCATGCTCCCCAGCCTCTCTTGGGTTTGGCGTCCTGCTCGCGTGTTTTCTGGTCTCATGTCATTGTGCATGAAGTAAGAGTCCCACACGCATGCGCCATCCACAACGGCAAGATTTGTGTGGTTCAGTGCAAATTTTCTAACGAGGACATTTTGGGCCTTCCAACAACTCCTTGGGGAAAAGCAGTTTGGAACTGGTTCTTACTTTCCCAGGCAAAGGGCTCAAGGACACAACAAGAATAAAGCCACTTTTAAGAGACAATTGAAGGACAACAGCCTAAGAAACATAAACTTTTTACCATACATATCTATCTTAATGTATATATGTGTACAGTACAGAAAAATGCCTCCAATTCACAGTTTAAAAATATCAGTTCCTGGTTCAGCATTTCGCTCTGAATGGTGCTAGTGTTTTCCACTGAGGACTGTTATGTTAGTGACATTGCTCTGCAGCAAAATCTGATGAGTTTATGAAGTTGGAGAGCCAGGAAATGCAGCTCAGTTTCTGAGCAGCTGAGAATGCCAAGAGAGTGAAGTTCAGTGTCTGCTTGCTTTATAGCATGGATTTGCAAGTGCGAAGTGCAGCAACACTAATACAGAGAGAGGCGCCAAACCAAACTTTTAAAGTGCAGCTCTTAAACCGTCAAGCTTAACTTTCCGCTATATTACCAGCAGGTGAAATGCTGGCGTACACCCACACTTATTTGTGGATGTTAATGTCAAATTAATGGACCTACGTGCCAACATGTTATAGAATTTTAGAGCAGGAGGGATTTGGGAGGGCTTCCAATCTTATATTCTATTTTAGCAATAGAAAAACTGGGACTTCTATGATCTCTCTGTCTCTCTCTCTCTCTCCCTCCCTCCCTCCCTCCCTCCCTCTCCCCCAAACACACACACACGCACACACACACACACACACACACTTCTGAGTCTTATGCTGAGTCATTGCTTACAGAAATTATCATAGGTCTGGCTTAAGAAAAAGAAAGGATAAATTGACCCAGAACTAGGCCAGTGGTCCCCTGATCCATTCAAGTTTGTATGGCCCAGCTTCAGGACTACAGGCCAACCATTTATCCTTGCTTCAGGAATCTTGCATCCAGGGTCTCAGATTACGTATTTTGGGCCAAACTTGAATATGACTCCAGAACAAACCAAGGACCACGATGTGCTTCAGGTCCTGACTAGATTGCGATGCCCAGTCGGTGAATGGTGGTCACAGCAGGAGCGGGACGTTATAATGAGAGTTTAAGATGTAGACAGAGTCCGACCAACGTACAACCCTCACGTGGAGGAATCCTAAGACCTGCCCAGAGAGCTGAGACCTACCTTCCCCGTGCAGGCAGCAGTGACAGGCAGTGGAGACTATATAACGAAGTGTGACGTTGAGTGGCACAGATTTGAAGTTTTGTAGGCGTTCTAGTGAGAGAGATGGATGGAATTGGGGTTGTCAGGAAATGGAAATTCCCCTGATCCCAGCAGGGTGCTTAGAATTTGAAGATGTTGACGGAATAACTGGGGGCTTTTCTAGGTGAAGAACAGCAGAAACAAAGCTAGAGAGAATGTCATGGGTGGGACCCCGAGGAAGCCAGGCTGACTGCTGGCTGTTCCCCAGCAGCACTGGACCCCGACCAATGGACCAGGGAGCCCCCAGTGCTGACTTACATTATTATCTACTAAACTGTGACTGAAATAAGTACCCCCAAAACCTAGGTATAAATGACTTGAGTTATATTTACATAGCGACAAATCTACCATAATATCATTATATTTATTTTATTGAAAATCTAAAATCAATTGCTAATTAAATATAAACAAAACCATAAACCAATGACACTCCATTTAATAATATTAATTTTATTTGTTAGATGATGTTTTGCTGAAATTAAACAATAAATTTGTTTTAAGCCAGTGTTCCTTGATGAAATTATATTTTAAAAATTTTAATGAAAAATTTCTATTGCACGTTTATTGCTATGCCTCTTTATAATGAATTGTCACAAGTTGGCCCATATAAAGGAAGAAAGGGGCTGAGATTATGGAGCTGGGAACTGATGGCTCAGTCATCCTGTCACCTTACTCTATTCTGGCAAAACCTTACAGCACAGTAGGAAGAATTTGACTCTTACAAGTATACACCTATCGAGCAGGTATTTAGGCTGCCTCTGTTCTTTCATCAATAGCCTATCGCAATTAAATTATTATATTATCCTCCCATCCATTATCATTTTAATGATGACAAATCAAAGTCTCTGTTTATAAGATTTATGAAAACTCTGATCTCATTCCATGAAAATCTCTTTTGATTGGAAATTACCACTGCAAGGAAAGTTGTATATTTACTACTGGCTAAAAAAAAACCCCAACCCAAGTAATAATGATTGCCAATGTTTAGTTTGCACATGAACCTCACATTGACCCTGTGGGGTCGGTATTATTTTTAATCGCCAGTTTTCAGGGGAGGTTACTGAGGCACAGAGAAATTAAGTAACTTGTTCAAGGTCACGTAGCCAATGAATGCTGTGGCCTGGAATTCAGGCATCTAAATCTAGGGTCCACTGCTACCTGTAGAAGATTCAGGATAATTGCAGAAAGGGCGCTGTTATTTTAACATTGGGCTGTGCCAGCCTGACCACAGTCAGATGTGTATAGCCTCACACTCAAATGTAAACTTGTACTTCAGGAGATCATGAGATACCATGCCTAACCATAAATATAAACATTTATATATCCTTCTGGGACATGTTAAAAAGTAGACAGCTCACCTGAAGCTGATGTTGTATAATATTGTATGTCAACTATAAGTGAATATATATATATATACATATATATATATATATATATATATATAGTCATGGCACGTGGAGTATAGTATGGGAGTGGAGTCAAGGGAATTGTAATAGATATGTATGATATTGGGGGGAAGTGGGGCAGCAGATTGGGGAAGGGGGGTTGTCACTTCGAGGGGTAAAAAATATAACTATTGCACTGTGTTGTACAGCTGAAACTAATTCTAAAAAATGTGTATTTCATAATAAAAAATAATTAAAAGAAAAAAAAAGTGGACAGCTACGTGATGCTTATAATAATGTGTAGCATTATCAGAGACATGGACATGGAGAAAATGAAAGTTCTCCTAGAACTCATCAATTCCCCCGAGAGGAGCACAGGGGTGTGATCAAAGGCCACGTGGGTTGGGCATGCCGATTACAGAGGGTGGCGTAAATGGGTGGATCTGCTGGGAATGGAAAGAGATAGAAGGGTGATGTGGGAGGAAGACAGAGGCCTGCAGCAACAGGCCAGCTCCAGGAGGTTCTGCTGCAGCAATCTCCCAGTAAGAGCAAAGCTTCTAGAACAGAGGGAAGGACCTCAGACTGCCCACATTTACCCTGAATCATCAGGGCCATTTCAGAACAAGAAGAGATTCCAGGTCTATTGTATTGAGGGAAATACTCTCCACCCATTACCTCTGAGATTCCCCTCTGTGGATACCAACATACAGCTGTATTCATCAGGGAAGAGGGGAAAAGGCTCCAAATGAAATGCTTCATATTTACATGGGCAAGAGAAATACTTTTTAAATGTAAAGGAAATTTTGAGTTGTTAGTGTTTGTCATTTTCCTATTGTTATATCTTGTATTTCCTTATAATAAAATACATTTTATATGTCCTCTTACGTGTTATGTTTCATATCCATACTTATATATAGCATGTCTATGTTAAAATGTTATTCGTGGCAGCAAGATTGCTTTATCAAATGCTTAATGCATTAAAACAGGTGTTTTCTCTTGTTCAAAGCATCTAAAATGATTTTAGTCACATTTTTCAACTGTCACAAGTGCAAAATAGAAACAAATTTAACTGCTTGTAAATGCTTGCTTTGCCACTAGTCAAATAAAATAGCTTACAGGAACTTTCGAAGATTTTAAGATTCAGCACATTGTCCTTTAAAATAGATCTCATAACCTAAAATGAAACATCACTTAACTTTTAAACTTGAAACATTTTGTAAACTTTTGAAAAGAAACTCTTCTTCACTGGTTTTATGAAATCCAGTCAAAGAATAAATAATATGAAATGAATCTAATGGAAAGTCTTTCCGTTGATGAAAAGTTAAATGGAAACTTCTACAGAAGGACTGAATTACCCATAATGCTTCAAGGTCTCTTGAGAGTGATCATAAGAAAATCAGTCTAGATGAATATTTAGGGAATATTATTCCTAATGATGTCATCCTTTGAAATTATGAAAGGGCAACATCTGAGAGATAAATCACTGATAAAACGCAACTGATGGCAGTTTGCTTTTCTCCATTGTAGGTGCCAACGGCCACCCACCGTCATCTGAAGAAGGTGAATTTGGCAAATGACATGCAGGTTCTCCAAGACAGAGTAATTGCAGAAAATCTTCAAAGGTACTCATATCAAATATGTATTTATCTCTTGATTAACTGAACCAAGGCACTAATTAGACCTGAGCACTCCATGTCACTTGAGGAGGGGAACATTTCACGGATGGGGAATTGTATGAAATTGAGGTGTTGATAGTCTTATACCTTCTTGTCATCTCATTCTCTTTGGCGCAGAGCCAAAAGAGGCCTTAATGGGGCAGAGCCATTTCATGAAATTAGTCTTCAGAAATGGTATAAGAAGCATCTGAAAAATGGGCATTTTATGGAGAATCGTATAACTTTATTAACATGTCATGAGCTGGTCAGGAGGGACGTGAATGGCAGGCCAGCTAGGCCTCGTCATCCACAGTCTCAGGAAGCTGTACAGATGTCACTTGTCTCATTCACAGCTTGCCTTCACAGTTTCTTGCCATGGCCATGTAAATATTAGTGCAAAGAGGGTTGTGGGACTGGGGACACTTACGGAGACCCACTTCATCAATAAACCCTGGTTGTATAAACATTCGTAGGGCGGTTGATTCATATGAGTGTCCACCCCATGCGTCTTTTCTCAAGTGTCAACATTGAAAGTTGTTTCCATCCACCCCCAACCGGAACTAATGCTGTGGAAACTCTTGGGTTCCTCTTGATTTCAAATTGCAGCTCTTTAAAATCTTAGCCCTTTGCTTGATTTCATTCTAAGCCTTGTGTTGGCCCACGCTGGCTTTGAAAAAGTCCTCTAATCACCAAAAAGTTCATGAACCTCACACAGCAAAACAAAACAAAACCTTCAACAAGTCTGGCCTGAATTTCAGGTTTTTCTTGCGAGGATTTATCCAACTTCTTTTTCTAACACTTATGGAATTAAACATCTTGTCTTCCTACTACAAATGGCAAATGAAGATGGGAAATGGCTGGAAGTATATGGGAGACTGGGGTTAGTTCCTTGACATGAAGCCTTGATCATTGGCAGTGTTTTCATAATTCTCAGACTTTGTCTGTAGGTGGTCTATGGTATCACCAGTGATGAATCAGGTGCTGGTTATCCAGGAGCTCAATCAACAGTGAGAGAAGACAAGTTGAAGTTTAGGTCTCCTTACTTCAAATTTTTAAACAGGGGAGGAAAATATTCCAAAGCAGAAACAAAGAAAGAAAGATATCTGTTTAGTTTAATAAAATAAAATAAAAGTTCAATACACAGTAGAACTGTGACTTCTTAAGACTTCTTCATCTTCTGGAGTCAGTTTTCCTCTAGCCCAATGCATCACTGTTGTTTTTCTGTAGGGAAGAAAGAGGTTGGTGTTCAGGATTATGCCATTCAAAATTAAGTGTAGAAGAGGCTGGAAAACCCTTAGTACTGGAACTCTCCCTACATCTTCCCAAGAGGTCACTGAAGACCTGATTTTACAAAGCCGTCTGTCTTTGTTTCTTTTGTGTATGGAGGGGTCACTTTTCTGGGATGCCATGTTGTTTATTATCTGTCCACTATTCTTCCATTTCACACTTTTCCCCCCCCTTAGTGGGTAGTTTCACCACTTTAAGCATGATATCCTTTTCATTTCCCAGCATACCCTCATTACGAGAAAATAAAAGTATGTTTACTCTAATATTGGATCGAGTTAGAATCACTTTCTCAAATTTAACACACATGACACTTATTTCTTTAAAAAATCTGTGAAGCCCCTATGAGAGCAGGCTGCAGTCTGTTTTTTCTGTCTTTGCACAAGAAAATTTAAAGCATGACCAGCTGCCAGCTTCAGAGATCTCTGCCCCTCCTCACCTGTCGTTTGAGCTGGATTAGATAGGTAGTTGAGTCACTTCCCACCACCACACCCATAGTCATAGATCCACAATCCTCCCATCTGGTAAATGTTGTAGAACGAAATTCGTCCTTTTTGTGCATTCTCAGATAGTCAGGTTTATAAAATAAGGACCAAATTAACGGGCCTTAGGACTTCAAAATGCTGCCCTGTGCGTGTTTGATTGCCTCTCTGTTCCTGTCATCTGAGTATAAAGTTCTTTCATTTAATATTTTTCCAGCTTTAAAAACTGCTTACCTGCCATTCACTGAACTTGGCCTCACCTCCAAAATACATAACTCGAAAAGCAGACCCAGGAGATGTTATAAGTAAATTTCAGGAGCTGCCCAAGTACCTCCTGACTGTTCGATTGCCAAAAGATCCTCCCTTCTTCCAAGGAGAGATAGGTTATATTCACATCTAATAAGACACCAAAAGGACAATTAAATTTCACAGCTTGGGGGAGACTCAGGGTTCTTGTCAAAAATGTTCACATCTGCGGAACAGACTGCCATTTTTTTGTGGAGCTGAGTTTGCAGTTTGAAATACACCTGCCAAAATCTGAATGGCTGCTATTGTACCTTCTGGACTCAAACACTGCCCTGTCAGACAAGGTTTGGTGTACACAGATGGGATAACTCAGGACAGCAGCTACACTGTTTGTAAGGAAATTAAGACCTTTCCTAGCCCTGTTGATGCCTATTTGGGATGGAAAATTTCATCATAAGCCTTTGGTTGTGCCTCCCTGGAACTTTATATATATATATATATATATATATATATATATATATATATATATATATATATATATATATATATATATATATATATATATTTGACTGATTTTTGACCTTCAAAAGCAGCAGTTTCAGATGGTACTACCTAATTTTTTACATCATTGGAAGCTTGGAGAACGTATAGTTTTGT